CAGAAGGAACCTGCTATATAGATAACAGGATCTCACTGTCGAGTCAGGTTTATTTCCCATTGTAATTCTCTAAATTTTCGCTTGAAGAAACCAATGTGTTGCTTGTAAGTTTATTTAGTGTTCCATGGTCTTCTATAGCTTGATCAGCTTTGAGTGACCTACTAGAACTATTTCTGGACCAGTGTCTTTGAGGCATCCAGTCCCCATGCCCAACTTGAGAACTCTAAATTTCACAGCAGACCACAAGGATTCCCTCTATGTATGAGGAGCACCTTGGCTTCTCATGAAAAAATGGGGAAAGCTCTTTGAGACTGATAGTTGGTCCCAGGATGATATGATCAACACCCCTAGACGAAGATGGAATACAAAATGTTTCCTTATTTCTGACTAATAGGTGCTATAGGGGAACAGGAAATTCACCACTGAAAAAGAAAGGGGTATCTAGCTCAAGCCCAGAAAAATTTTAAGGTAGTTAACAGGTAGTTTCTTTGGGGACCTACAGCCAAGTTCCATAGCAGGTAGACTGTGGTTCAGACTTCCTTTAGAGAAAACACTCTTACCCTGCTGTCAGTTGGAAAATCAAAAAGGATAATGGTTAAATGAAGAAAGTTTTTTTCTGGTGTTACTAGCCAATATCTGTGAAATGTGATAACTGGAAAAGGGAGTTTTTTGGTTTTATTGTTTAAGATGAAATTCAGTTATGTTTATAAACCAAGAAGAAATCAAGACAAAGCGGGTGTCTGAAGGTCTAGAAATGAGAGGGGTGATGACCAATGAACAGGACTTAAGGAGATGGGTAAGGAAGGGGAGGGGAAGGTGTGGGATGGACCTGGCTGACAGGTGTGAGAGATAAACTTGGGGCAGAAGGAAAGACACTTCTTTTCCTGAGCCTGGAGAAAAAATAAAAACATGTAGGGGGAGAGCTATATCTGTCAGGATAAACCTGGTTATGCTGTGGTAACAACTTCCAAAATCTCCATGGCTTACAACAAGAAAGGTTTATTTCTCATTCACATGACATGCCCTGTGCCAGCTGGCTCTGATTCAGTTTTGTGTTGTCCACATTTCAGGATTTAAGCATGTGGACCAGCCCCTATCTGGAACTGCAGTTTGCGGCAGAAGGAAAAGAGAGAATGACAAACCATGCATGAGCTCTTAAAGGTTCTGCTGGGAAGTGATGCTCATCACCTCAGTTAACATGTCATGGCTAAAGCAACTCCCATGATCATGTCTGAGGCCAACAGAAGAGAGACATAAGAGAGGGATGATGAATATGAGTAAATGATACAGTAGAGAGAGACAATGAATATGGGCAAATAATACAATAGAGAGGGGCTTTGAATATGGGCAAACAAAGCCATCTACCACAAGGCCCATCCTGCTTTTGTTGATGATAGAAGTTGCTCCTTCATTCATTCAATAAATATTTACTGAACCCCTTCTATGTGCTTGGCCCTATACTTGGCTCTAAGAATAGATTTTTAAATAAGACCAGATCTCAGCTCTCATAGTTTTTATTGTTTAGAAGTTTCCTCTTGGTTTTTCATACTAACATAGGGGATTCTATCATCTGCTGAGAGTGAGGGACTTGTTCGGAGGCAAGGAGTTGGAGTAGGGAGGTAAACCTTTGAAATAACTGCTGAGCAAAATGGGAAAACACTGCATTAAAAGATCTTGACAATCTCATACTTCCGTCTCATTCTATCAGTCATTGATTTTGGCCATTGAGTCTTAAATAAAATAACCACCAGCAAAATTTATAACACCCAAATCCCCACACATAGCATCAAAACATGTACATCCACATTTACCTTACTTTTAAACATGAATTCAAAACTTTTCTTTTGCTTTCTACCTTTATTTCCCATTTTATTTGGTTGAAATTAAAAAAAAAATTTTAGATATAATGGAAACCAAAAACATGATTAATAAAAGTTGGAAACTGAGACTGGCCATGCAAGATATGAGATTTCAAGAGAGTTTAACATTAGATAGATACTCAAGCCAGGATTGCCCAGGCAAATATTTAGTTAGGATAGCATAACACAGTCAGACCACAAGGACACCACAGAAAGTATACAAGAACATTTTGCAATGCAATGCCTATGAACAATCCATGTACATGCACTAATTTGTCCTGTAGGTAGGGTTACAGTTATTCTATCACTCTAGTGCTTTTAGATTAAGACTCAGCAGCTTTCTGTGTCTTAATGTGACTGTAGAGGACCCGGCAGACTGTCATAAAGAATGCTTCAGGTGTGGGTAGCACTGATAATAGGATTGATGAAGACCTGTGTCTTTCTGTAGATGAGGCCTTTTCCTTAGGAAATTAGAACTCTGGGAGGTCCCCAAAGGGCCATGGAAATTTGAATAAGAAAAAGGTCTTACTAAATTAAAAAGTTCTTCTTTTACGTTTGTCTTTGTAACAATTGTTGTTGCTTGGTAAGGATAGAGGAAGTCATAAAGGGTGATGGATACCACCATTGACCATCGTCAGGAGTTGCAGATGGGTGAGTCCACATCTATCATTTCAGTGTTTTTTCCTGAGGTGAAATCAGGTAAGATTTGAATTTTGAGGCAACTTAGAAATACAAAAGTGCACCAAAGGCTGTCCGGAAGGGAATGTGGAAATAAGAATGGTGCAGTAACATCCACTTTGCCTGATCCAATGTATAGGTTGCAGGCATACATTATATAGCACTCTACGGGATATAAACAAGGAGCTGGATGCCCAATTCACCCTGCTTGACTGGCTATTTGGTAGGAATGATAGATTAACCCAGGGTCTTGAATGAAGTGACAGGGCCCGTTTGAGTCTTTGTACTAGACATTATTTATCATGCTGCGAGGACCCATGAGAAAGTCTCAGATTTTTTACATGCTACTAGATATACTAAATACTAGCTATTAAATTGTCTTTCGAGGAAGGTCATTTCAAATTGAAATCTTGACTTTGTATTTGGTGGGTGTTAACTTCATAGTTTTAAACCCTAATTCAAAATTGGTCCTGCTTAAACATGTAGTTACATACAGAGTATATCTAATTCTATCTTAGGCAAATGGTGATTTTCTATTGGTAACATGATTTCATTTTCCTCTTTTCCTCTGGAAATTGCTGTCCGGGTTTAAGTCACTAATATGTGTACAGGCCTTAATGAATATTTCTACATTTAATAAGCAATGTCGATGTAATATTGACACTTTATTCACACTGATATTAAACTTTCTCATCTTAAAACTTCAAGTTCGACTCAAATACTGTAAGATCAAAGTTTATTTTCCTTTCTAAAAACAAAAATGGTATCATAAACAAAGCCCATTTTGTAATCAGAATACTCCCTGCCCCTGTATTAGGCAGCTTAGAACAATGGTCAGTTATACATACATGAATTCCAGGAAACGAAACAAACAAAAAAATTGTCATTTAAGTAAAGTAGGTTATGAAAATCTTAAATGAATAAAAAAAACCCACCAAATTAAAAGGAGCAAAAAAGATCATTTTCCTTCTCTGAACTGCATCGCTTGAACAAACAAAATCTCCCAAAATAAAAAAAATAATTTATTTATTTAAATGTTTTTAAAAGTAAATTTCCCAGTAAACACAGGGTCAACCAAAAAAAAGCCTCTTTTATTTTAAACGTTGCTGAAAATAATTCTAAACATATTAGTTACTACCTTAGGAAGTGCCAAAAATTATCTCACCACTTCTATGAATTTTGACTATTGAATCTATGTACAGATGGATTCTGTACATAGAATTGTCAGGAATCTGTACTGACTCCCAAACCTAGTTTGGACCGGTTACTTTTAATTGAAGAGGTCTGTTTTCTTGTGATGAATACCCCTCAAGTCGTAGCCCCACCCCCACCATAAAAATGATACGTCCAATAACTTAAAGGACATAGTCTATAAAGTTCCTATACCAGTTTTCATGAAACTGCTTTCTTTACAATTACTCGTATCTTGTAAAACCTAAATTTAAAATTATAACAGCAACAGCAGCTATTAACCATGAGGACAAATGGAATCTTAGTTTTAAATGCAACCACGTATGAGAACTGCGCAATTGGATAGTCGTCATTTGGGTGAAGTCATCGACGTGGTTTCACTTGCAGTTTTTGGAAGTTGACAACCCGTTTCCCAAGATTTAACAATTCTAAGCACGATAAATCAGTTTTGCACCCTGTCAAATACGTGGGCCGTTGCCGTTTACTTCTCGGCAATATTAGATTCAATTATGTCTTGTAGTCTCATCTGTGCAGATGAAACCAACCCCTGCCTTTCCGCGCGGTATAAACCAAGACGCCCCTCAAAGGATCAAAGAGCTGAGCCACAGAGCCGGAAGAAAGCGGACTCGACATGTCAGATTAAAGGGGACCCCAGACCTTATTCCCCACCGTAGGTCTTCAGATTTTAAAGAGAGGGTTAGGAAGATCGGGAGTGACAAGGAGGAGGGAGCCAAAAGCTCGATCCTTAATCCAACCGGAGACAAAGGTGAGTAACTGCGCAACGAGGACGGGTAGACCCGCAGAGGGAGGAGGTTCCTTGGGCCCCAGCCGGGTGGCGTGACTTCAGGAGGACTCAGAAGACGAGCCAGGACTGGGTAGAGAGAAGGAAGGTGCCCGCGGGGCGGGCAAACCCGCTCATCGAGGTTGGAAATGCCCCTGCCCAGCCCCGCCGGGCCGGGCGGGGAAATGAAACCAAGGCGAGTGCCTGGGTTCCCGGGGTGGGCGTCTCTGAGAAAGAGCGCGTGCCTCACGTCCTCCCGGCCCAGCCCCGCCCCCTGCGCGCTGCGCACGCGCGACCTTGCCCCGCCCCTCGCGTCCCCGCCAGAGGGATGGAGGGGAAGGGGAGGGGGCGGAGACGGGAGAGCCGAGGTGAGTAGGCTATCAGAGTCCCCAGACTGCTAGCGCGTGAGCCGCCGCTATCCGCGCTGCGTCAGAGCTCCCGGGCCCGCCCTCCTCAGGCCCCTCCTCCCCGCTCTGCTTTCCTCCTCCTCTACCCCTCCCCCTCCGGCCGAGCAGTGACTTAAGCAACGGCGGGCGGTGAAGCCCATTTTTCGCCTTCCTCGCAGTGGCGGCTGGCGGCCCCCGGCACGCGGCCCCCACGTTCTGGTCCGAGATGAATGTTGCAGCAGAAGCCGAGTTCAACATTCTCCTGGCTACCGACTCCTACAAGGTAGAGGCTCGGGGCGGGGCAGGTGAGGGAGGAGGAGAGGGCGCGTTGGGGACGATCGCGAGGTTGCGGGGTTGGGGGTGGCGGGTCTGAGGTTGTGGTGCGGGGCAGCCCCGAGAGAAGGCGCGGGCAGCCGCGCCGGGCAGGTGAAACTGGCGCTGCAGTGGCGAGGAGGTGGATGGAGGAGGGATGGACGGATGGACGGCAGGAGGCGG